ATGCGACATATTACATGTGCGCGATGCACACAGAACTGCATCTTGTCTACCGACTTTGTTGAGCTGTAATCCGTAAAAGCAAAAAATACAGCAAAAGCATTAACACCGGCACCGTTTCCATCCGTGCAATCGTTAAAGAAAGTTTGGAACTTTTCTGAAAAATGATTGCAGTATAACTGCTTCAAATCCGTAACATTCGACGGACAATTTACTTGGCGAAAACTTCTCTTGTCTTGGTTAACCTTAATTGTATCAAATACAATCACATTCTTTTACTGCAGGACATCATCCCTCTTGCGGTACCTGGATCTTTGTAAGAAGTCATTGTCTACTGTTCAGAAAATGAATAACATGGTCAAAACATTTTCTAAACTTCATTCGAGTTTTAAACTACGTCCTACAATCCTTGTACCAGTTTTGTGAACAGAGAATCGTTTCCAAAATAGACTTGTCTTACAAACATAAGATCTGTGGTACTGATCAGTAGTACAGGCAGCGGGGTCTTTCACTTGATGCCTTACACACCTAACACCGCTTTAAATACCGCTCTTCCTTAACGCTCGGAAGTCAAAAATATGAATCCATCCGGATCCGGCACAGCTGGATGCTTCTAGTGGAACAGGGAGGTGAAGCGCTTCAGGAGACTGAACAATCTAGGTATTTCAGCTCCATTAGCTCTAGCCAGAGTTAAGCAGGAGAACCTTCCTAGCCGCGAGGGCTTAAACAAACTTGTTCCATATTTTGGCTGAAAAAGGCATATCTCCTTATACAAAGATCCGCTTGTATCTTGCCTGTTAATTCAGTGCTGTTGTTACACGGCATCGAGAGAGCTGTTCAAAATAATGAAAAAGAACGGCAGCTGTACCGCATGTAAGAGCGTTCACTCCGCTGCATAATGAAGCTTAAATGACAGGAAAACTCTATTCCGCTCCTGGCACAGGTGACGTCAGATGATATCAAAACCAAAAAAGGGATGTTATCCTTCTTACACATACTGGTGGAGAATAAATTTACATTTACTTCACTCTGCGAGCTTCTTGCGTGAGAGCCAAAGCACGGAAAACGCGAACCAGGAGGTCATGCAACCTGAAGGAACAATGTACAGGAAGATCTGCTTTCAAAGAGATTTCCTTCTACAACATCGTAACTAATACATGAGCATTGCCAAAGTATTGTAAAATTGTGAGTACAAACCAGGGATGTTTTGCTTATGGAAATCAGTCAAGGTGGTGATCTCAACAGGCACAATGTGATGCGGTGATTACGATTTCATGGTTTGTGACAGCCCTTCACGGCTAATATAGCCGTAATATATTCTACCTACTTCGTCTTGAGTTAAAATCCCTTACTTTAGTCGCTCCTAATTCTACATTACACAGATACCAAGGGTATTTGAATAAGAAAAATAACAAATCTGAGTGTATATTACATTCAAATACAATCGCGGTGTCAACAAATAACGGAATAAACGACTTAGAAAGACTCGAAACTGGAAAAACAAACAAGTCTGACAGAAATAGTGCTAGAGAAGTCAACAAAGTAAAATAGGATAGAGCAAGTTTATTCAACAAAATATAAGCATGTTTATTTAAAAAGCGATAATGTCGTTAGTGATTCAAAAGAATTAGGAAATGTCATCCACTGAACCAATATAAGGTGAAAAGATACAAATCATTACTACGACAAGCAAGTAACATTTGACAGCTATGCTACAGTAAAAATTTGATTCGCTCAACAGTAACCAGTGGGCGAACAGCACACAAGTTGTGCAGACTCTGCTGATGCCTGTTCTGTGTGACTGAACAGATACCTGAAGGTCAACGTAAACTGGAAAAAGAGCCGCACGAAACCAAAAGGCAATTCACAGACAGTTCTGAAATTATGTCCCCCATTAAAAATTAGAATTTAAAAAGTTATAAGTGTCGTACAAGGTCCAATCGGTAATTTTTACAGTGTTGTTGAACCGTATTTCGTAGGCGGATGACTGCATCGGAATGCTAACGATGGAGCGGTTGAAGCCTCGGCCAACGACCTCGTTGCGGTCTGGAAACATAACTTTCGTCACGCTACACGTGCCGTTGACCATATCGACTCCAAAAAAGTTTTCATTTGACACGTTCACCGATGTCTAAACAAAATTCATACTCTTAAACGTCAACCAATGGTCTCACTGGGCTCCACCGCGAACTGGAATAAAATAAAATTCGAAGTACTGTTTCGCAAATGCACGAATATAGTCATCACAGGCATGGCCATACGTGAATGCTGTTCAGCACAGCTGAATTTCATATCCTGGAATTGATCGGATGAACGGTTTAATCCTCAGTATGGCAGGCTAACGATGTCACTCAACTAGACGAGGACGAAAACAACGTCATGGGCAAGACCTGCTAGAACAAAGTCCAAAAATATTGTTTAAAGAGTCGATAAGATAGACGGTCATCGTTTCTACGTTATCAGTGACTGCTTGATTAATTTTATGTTTATGTTTAACTTAGATACTTCCGTCATAACTTTTCTGCGCAGTCCGGGAAAAGTAATATTAAAC